CGATTAGTCGACTAATGCTTAAAATGAACGACTACTAGTCGACCAATCTTTAGTCGAGGGCAGCCCTAGTAAGAAGACAATCATACCGGGTCATTTTTGAGGTCCAGGTTAGGGAGTAATGGCATGTTTAACACGGTCTTTCGACGAATCCCACTATAGCAGTATGTGCTGGCAATTATGTTAAGGGACACTGAAATATACATTAGGTTTCATTAAATAAAACAATAAAACTGACTTTTAGTTTGAATTTTGTTCAAAATTTTGAATGAATTTAAAGCATGAGATAACATTAATTTGTCAAAAGACATCTTAAAAACCAAACCATTACAGATAAAAAAAATTATCAAGGGTGTTGATTATGTGCAGAAAGCCATCTAAATATCTCAAACATTTAGAAATCTTCAACAGTTGAATGTGTGTGTTTTCATGAGTATGGTGAATCCAAATTCACTCTGATGTCATGGTGTCTGCTCTAGATAGGGTTTTAGAAGTCATAAATGTTTGTCTACGTTTTATACAAATTAAATGAAATTAGGGACAAAAGGATATTTGGACTGTCCTCTACCACCCAGTCTTCGTGCTTTAATGTTTGGGAAGATGTCTCGGATGATTTTGCCAAAATTTGCTGCACTTAGAGGTCGATGCTGTAAGTTGTCACAGTGCTTCCTGTTTAGATATAGAAACCAGTAAGTAATCACTGTATTTTGTGGCAAACTACAAACATGGACAGAACAAAACAGATAATGGACCCTTACAAGTCTAGGGAAACAGCCAGAAAGTGTTTACTTTGAAATATAACTCAGCCTAAGAGGCTTGTGTGCATATTCTGCTCCCCTAGTCCTTACCGGTATGTCTCGTAAACATCTTGTTTAGGCAGGCATGTGTCAGGATGTTCTTCCAAGTGGCTACGGATCCAGTTGCAGGTGTGAAGCTGGTCTGCCGTGTTAACCGAGTTTGAATCACTACTGGTGCACACAGAGAAGCAGTTTGCAAACATGTGTCACATATAACATGTCTTGTCACATCTGTGTTATTTTTAGCTACCCTGATTGCTGGGATTTAAAAAAAAA